GACTGTCCCAACATACCCAGGTTTTGACACCCGTTAAGGATCTCACTGATTGGCATATCAAAGACAGCCCAATCTGACACCTAATGCAGTATCATAATCGAGTCTAGGGGTCCGGTGTAACTTTCCAGTTTTTTCCATCTATCTCTAAGGTTCAGGGCAATACTGGAAATCTGGTCCGGTTCAAAGGTTCTATTAGTCCTATACTGCATGTGCTTCGGGTCTCACCCTGGTAACTGAGACAGGCCACCCCAATAGTTGGCAGCACACCAGTGTCAGCCTTGGYAGGATAAATCTCCCCAGACTTACCCAATGGCTGTAAACATTCTAAACTAACACAAGTCTCATTAAGTGTCCAGTTTAAGCGTATTACACAGAAACACACCATAGGAACATGAATCAAATGTGTATTTTATTTATACAACTGTCTAACAGAATCAGGTTCAAGCCTGGACATTTAATGTTAACAAAGAAGCAGGACCCAACCCAACCCACCCTGTAAATATGTCTACTTGTTACATTGATGCGGTTAGGGCTGCAAACAATATTCAATTACGGATTTATCCGAATTCAAATTGCAATGCAATCCTATTAAGGGTGATTCGAATTCGATCCGTTTATAATTGGATCAAATATGGATCTAGCCCTATCTGATCCAATATAATCTGATTCAAATTGATTTAAATATCTAAATTGATACATACTTAAAAATTATATTATATTTATCATTGAAGTTGGTCTTAATGTTGTATTTTTACTAAATTGTCATATGTTTAAGTTTTATGTAAATGGTTTTCAATTCATTTTGTTCATAAAATGTAATTTAAAGTCATTTTTAGCTCACCTTATCAATAACATATAATATTTTGATCATTTTTGGTTTAATTTAATTATATTATTTAATATCCGATTATAATCCACTAGATATCCGATAGACATGCGCAGATTTGAATCAAAATGTAAACAAATCAAATTTGGGTATGGTTGATCATAGGCTACTCTACGTAACGGCCAGTTATGTGATAAATCATTCTTTAATGTATATTCTCCATTCTGTTGGCTTACCTCTCTCTCATTCCCAATTGAATGGGTTTACTAGCTAGCTAGCTACCTTGTTTCCTTCTTTGTAATGGATTTGAGCATAAAGTGAGAATTAACGAAAGTGATTTGAGCTGTTATTACAAACAATGGATGGAATAATGAAAAAGAAGAAACCTGTTCAATTTGAGCTATCAACAGTTAGAACTGATGTACCAAGAAGTCGCCAATATGGACCATTGATATTTGGCAATCCTTGGGACTAACGTCAAACCATACATGTAATAAGCTAAAAGTCAACAGATACTGCTGGAATGACAATGAAAGAAAGAAAAAAGTTATTATTTTTATTTTCATGAAATCCTAAACTTACCTCACCAAATAAGCTGATATCCAAAGTATGTGAAGGGTGTTCATCCTTGTTTCCACCCCACTACAAACAACAATTTGTGGAGTCTTTTCATCATTACATTGTTACATGTATTTGAACTACTTGTCTTCTATAAATACTTAAAGACTGAAAAACCTTTGTATTTTGTAATACTTTGTATGTATTTATAAGATTTATAAATTTCAGGCCAACAACATTGAGTAATGGCCTTTAGGCTTTAGCATCTATACAAAAATCAATACATATGCAATCTTTCGTTTCTCAACCAATCAATTTTAATCAAGCAATATACAAACCAAGAATTTAGGACACAAAATTCATTATCTTCCTACAATCATAGTAACTGTTACATCATTTGTCGATGCAATTTCATGGCTCTCTACTGATATGCACACATCTGTAGGATGATTTCTAACTATAGTAAAAGTGGGTTGCTTTGGTACAGGAAGAGTGGCAGTTTCACTCTCCAACATCAAAATAACAGATGACATGGTTGGCCTGTCCATTGCAGAGTCTTGCACACACAACAGCCCCACATGAATGCATCTCAACACCTCCCACTTAGAACATGAGCCACTTATGGATGGATCTATGAATTCCATCGCTTTATCTTCAATCCACAGTTTCCATGCCTGAAAACAAAAAATCCAAGTGATCCATTATATCAGTAAACAGTTCTAGGTATATGCGTAAAAGGAAGAACCTAGATATTTATTCTGATAAAAAAAACAAATACACATACATATCCGAGAAGGTTTAATGAGTGCTCCTGGGAACGGAAGTGTGTATTCCTTCGGCCGCTTACAATCTCTAGAAGTAATACTCCAAAACTGTAGACATCAGACTTCACTGAAAATAGGCCTTCCATTGCATACTCCGGAGACATGTAACCACTGCATTTGATTTCATCAGGGAAAATTTTATAAGAGACCATGACGATACAGTAGTCATCAATGGAAATTGTTAACTTGCTAGATGAAATGACTAAGTTAGAAATGCATCCTTGGAAAGAATGCATGATCCCCTCCTCTGTTCAACACTTACTATGTGCCTACTACTCGGGTTGTATTTGCTTCATTCTGATTTCCTCCGAAAATCTTGGCCATCCCAAAGTCTGAAATTCTTGGGTTCATCTCTTCATCCAGTAAAATGTTGCTGGCCTTTAAATCTCGATGAATTATTCTCAGCCTTGAATCTCGGTGAAGATAAAGGAGCCCTCGTGCAATCCCTTCAATGATATTGAAGCGCTTCCCCCATTCTAGTTTCCCTTGCCTTTCAGGTTCTGCATTAAGTAATGTTCATTGAACAATGTCAGCAAATATCAATTTCATCTATTTCCCATGGACGGTTGAAAATCATAACTAATTTCAGGCTTTAAATGGTAAGGAGAACAAACCAAAAATGAAAGAATCTAGACTGCTGTTGGGCATAAACTCATAAAGCAATATCTTCTCCTCCCCTTGAATGCAGCAACCCAAGAGTCTAACTAGGTTTCTGTGTTGTAGTTTGGCAATTAGTATTATCTCATTTTTAAATTCCTCCAGGCCTTGTCCGGATCTCCTTGAAAGTCTTTTGACTGCAACTTCCCGTCCACAAGGTAGTTTGCCCTATAAAATGAGAAAAAGAAAGAAAATGGAAAAAAGAGAACTGTTAATTTTAGATTTATAATAATCAATAGCTATCAGTATGTGTTTGTGTTGAAATTTACCTTGTAAACAGGACCAAATCCCCCTTCCCCAAGTTTATTTGCATCTGAAAAGTTGTTTGTGGAAAATGCTACAAAATTAAAATTAAACAATGGTAATTCGGGCCCATCTCCTTGCTTTGCTTCTATTGCTGCGTCGCCCAGTACAGATAAGTCTTTTGAAAGCTCTTCACTTATGCTCAAATCAGGTAATGGTAGCTCTTTGTTTGGCATAACCAACGAGCCTGAAAAAATGGTAAAGAAACCCCCAAGGCATTGCTACCAAGAAGAACAGAGATAAATACCATATCCAAGATGAACTAATACATTTAGTCATTTACCTTTCACTTTTCTTTTTGCGTTGAACCTCCACAACAAGTAGATGGATAGGCTTAGGAAGACGAACCCCAATAATGCAATTATTATTATCACCAATTTCAGTATCTTGCTCATCCCACCTGCATTTGGAAAAGATCTTTAATTCATAAAGCAAGAACTGATTAAAGAAAGGCAATCCATATATGGAACTCACTCCTCAGTGACTCGCAAAAGAAATAGATGATTCAGGGCAGTTTGGGAAAATAAAGACAATTAGCTTCGAAAGTCAGAATTTTACCTTGGCCTAGTTCGGAATCAGCAAGGCGGATGTACAATGTATTCCCACCTTCTGGAAAATGCTGAATATCAACCAAATCCCTCTCCCATAGCATACATCCAACCCCATTTACATAAGCGTAGGCTCTGCAGGAGCAATTCTTCAAACACTCGTCTTCGCACTCACCTCTGCCTTGAATTGACACCCAGTTGGAAAAATCTGGCAGTTTTATACCTTGCACCTTTAGAAATCCATCTCCCTCGATATTCTCAACACTACTATTTCTCTGACACTGTAACTGCGTTCTCCTCACACACCCGCCTGACCAATTTCCTCTGCTCCATTCGAGGGGCGACTTGGGTTCAAATCCTTGAAGACAAGTACAAACGGGAGAGCTCATTCGATTACAGATTCCATAAGTTCCGCACTGATTATAAAGCTCACATTCATCAACTGGTTGTGACCAGATAGTAGTCCACTCTTTTTTCTCTGAATTCCAGAGGAGATGATCCTCGATTCCATCCCATCTTATTCGAAACTTCAGGATGTCAGTGCTGTTAGTCATAGTATATGTGAAGTACCTTAGTCCTCCTTCTTCGTCATTTACAAGCCTAAAACCATAGATATAAAGAGGTCTCATGTTGGGAACACCCATGAATGTCTGGCCATTCCACTGCCCGCTCCTCCAACGCCTTTTCGATCCTTCCCACATCACAATTTGTGGAGACCCAACTGGATCAACACCCATGGAGTAGTTCCCAATTGACGGATCGTTGGCGCTTTTCCATGAAACGAAGAGGCGAGTATTGCCGGTTCTGAGATTCAAGCTGGCTTTCATACCTGGTAAGTAGGTATCCGTCGGATCATCGAAACTCTGCCACAAGGTATTTCCAGTGTCGCCGGCGTCATTGCCAGTACTCAGAATAAGATTTCCAGAATCCGTGAGATATGCAGTGGAATTACCCGATACAGCTGAAACATTCGTGGACCAGAGAGAATTTCCATTTCCATCTAAAACCATCAGATTGCCGCTGCCTCCAATAGTAAAAACTCCGTTGGTATCTAAAACAGGATTATCTCTGTTTGCAACCCATACGACCGTTTGTACAGAAACCTTGTAATACCATATGCCGACATAGCGATTTGTCGAGTTTACCGGACTGAAGAACCCCAACTGAAAGTTGTTTCCCTCAGAGATAATGGTTCCTCCATCCCTGATGGGACGTCCTCGGGTTAGTGTGCTAGCTGCATAACAAAACGAGGAAAGGTTGTAAAGCAGGAACAGAGAAGAAAGAAAGAGACTTGGGTGTCTGCACCTGCTGCCCATCTCACAAACTTGCTCGTTGCAGATGTCAGTGGGAGCTACAAGTCTAAAAACAAAGCATCGATGAAGGATGGGCGGCTACCATCCAAAACCAAAAGCAAGAGTGACGATCGATAAACGCTGAAGAATTTTGACCGCGAATCATCTTTGAAATTTTTTGTTGACCAATCAAGTATTCGTGGTTTTCTAGTTGTATATTGTCATAAATCTCCTTATCTCTACCACGGATGCATTCTTAAAGAGCAATGAAACCAGAGGTACTATCGTAAATTTGTGGTTTTCTAGTTGCGGTCACCCATCGAATTCCGCACCAAATTCCAACGTGGAAATTTGGAATGGAACTATTTTGACTAATAAAAAATCAATAAATTATTCAAAAATTGAGCAGTGATATTATATAATTATCCATACTATTTGGTCAAACCGTATTTGTAATCTAATTTGACATGGTGCATCGTGTGGGTCCCAGTGTTTATGAATTATAAATCAACGGTATCAAACAAACAGTATCACATTATTAGGAACCAAACAAAAAAATTAAAATGGTGTTCTAGACTTCTAGCACCCAGAACAGGAAACCGAAAATGGCATTCAAAGGCCGCCGTATGAAAATTAGGGTTTATAAATACGTACGGTTAGTATTCGTAATAAAAAAATAAAATAAAATACAAAATCCTCCCCTAAATTTTTTGACAATCATAAAAACTTTCGGTATAGTTTTATTTTAATAAGTATCTCTCCTGAATTTTTGAAAAATTGGACAAAAACTTCTCTTCCGTTATTGTTTCAGATAGAAAACGTTAGATTGGTGTATCAGTTTTTTTCTAAATATCTATTTTACCCTTTTATAAATTATTTTTCATACAAAATTTTTGAAATAACCCCATTTTGATTCAACAAAAACCTCTTTAACAATCATTCCAGTAATTTTACATACAAATTACTGAAATATGTTTTTTTATTGAGTTAAAATGTGATTATTTCAATAATTTTGTATGTAAAATAATTTATAAAAGGGTAGAATGGGTATTTGAAAAAAAACTGGTGCATCAATCTAATGTTTTCCGTCTGGAACAGTGACGGAAGGGAGGTTTTTGTTGAGTTTCTCAAAAGTTCAAGGGAGGTATTTATTAAAATGAAACTATAGGAGAGATTTTTATGATTGTCAAAAACTTCAGGAGAGGTTTTTGTATTTTACCCTTATTTGATATTTCAACCATGGGTCGTGTTAGTGCAAGTGTGCAAGTGTGCAACCGTGCACAATAAAACAAGCTTAAGAGAATGCAATTTATGGACTAAAATATTTAAACCTCCCTTGATTTTTCATATTAATAATGAAACCTCCCCTCATATGACATCCCCTCATCAGAAACCTCTCTTCTTAAGATCTGTATGAATGTGATATTAATTTTTTTCAAATCCCAAATTTGCCCCTTTAAAATCCTTTAACCATGTTTAACAACTGAAATCCAAGAAATAGAGATATCTGAACCAAGGTTTTTAAAATTGTATTGGACAATGAACCGTTCTGTTCTTGGGTCGAATGGTTCGACCATTCAAATTGAACAAACGGCCCATTTTGACAAAAAAATTAAAAAAACAGCCAAAAACTATTAGACGATTCAAACGATTTAAATAGATGGTTCAATCACCCGGATCAATGATTTGCTGACAAAATCAACGATTTTTGGCTAAAAAAACGATTCTAGAAAGATATGCAATAGTTCAATAACAGCTATTCTTTCAATATTTTTATTCCTTGTAAACTTGGTGTCGTCAATTAGGACGTTAATAGTTTTTATCTCATTTCAGGAACAATTTAGAGAAATTAAATTTTGATGGGTTCCTCAACCATGTATACATACGACAATGAATTCTAATAATGAATTTCTAAACTGGCATTCAGTGTTTCATTAAAGGTTCCCCAATATGTACAAAGAGAGTTGAGAACTTCTTCCATCATAGTAAATCCACGTTGACACAATTAATAAAACAAACGGGCTTTATTATTGCAATAATCTTTTAGAGATTCATCATTTTCTTTGGGTTTATTTTTAAATTCAATCAAAATCTATTGATATTGCATTCCGCCTCCATAAGAAGGTCAGTTAATTGTAGAGAAGTTTTCAAATGAGTATTGGATAATATGCTTGTTAATGCATTATCCCAATCCAGTCCAAGAATAGTGGTGATTACCTCCATTATGGATTGTTCATCAATATTAACCCTATATACCTTCAATTTGATAGCCAAGTCGATTTTATTAAAACAATGATGCATTACCAGACATCCCTTCCACTAATCATTCCTTAAGGAATTACTTCTTTAGTCTCCTCACTAATAGTCCTTTACTGAATTATCTATTAACAATTAATAAATGCGGACACATTCTGTATAGTAAAGGGAGGTACAGAAAATTAGCACTATAAGGAATAATATAAAATAAAAGTATTTTAATATAAATTGAAAAAATATAATTTCAAGAAGAGATTTACCTTCAATTGCAAATTATCTTGAATGACCTCATGATAGACAATATTCTGAGTGAAGTCACTTGATTCATTATCTTTATTTTTAATCAAAATCTTTAATCTACATTGAGATGTTGCAGAGATGTAGCGACATAAACTTGTACATGAGAGAAGATAAACTCCTATATGTTGCATTGTCTGTCATTGATTCTTATTAATACTCATTGCAAAAGTCAATCGCATTTTTTTTAATAATGAATGGCCATTCAATGTCAGAAGGAGAGAATAATTCTTTGAGTCCTTGTAATTATTTTTGCTTCAATAACTCGATTACCCATCTTCTCAACAATTGAGTTACCTTACACAACCCAATTTATTGGTTCAGATTCCAAAGAAGCATTACAAGTGCCCCGCCTTTAAGTTGTAATTGATGATTTAGAAGATCAAAAAAGTTAAGTGAATGCATAACTTTAGAGGATTCATGGTTAAGGTTCAATTATGGCAGTGCTTTCATTCTAAGCCTTTCCCCCTTTTCTTTTAAATGATGAAGAGAAAAAAACAAGGAAAATTAAAATGAAAAAGAAAAGATAAAACAAGGGATTAACTTAGGTGGAATAAAGCTTTGTTGATGTGGTAAGAGAAATGTGTCTTAAGAGTTGAGAAAGGAGGGGCGATCAATTCTCAAGGATTCCTCCCTCCCCCAGGTCACCTCTCCCACCCCTATTTATAGGATTAGGGTAGCGGCAGTTCGGGTATTATAGAAAAGCTTGAGGGTAGGAGGGCCTAGGAATGGTAAAAACAAGGGTATAGGGTGAAGGGGAAATGAGGGTAGTTTAGGTATTTTGGAATTTTTTTGGGGCAAAAGTGTTTAGAGGTGGTGAAAATATGGGTATTTTGGGAAAAGGGAGGGTGAGGGGTATTTTGGATATTTTATAATTTTTGGGGGTATTTAAGTAAACTCATGTATAGAGAGAGGGTATTTCCCATCTAAGAGTTAACACATTTGGATGGTTAGGATTAATTTTTGAGGTGTTATGGTGCATTGTTGGTTCTAAGGGAAGTCTTGCATAAAGGCCAATGACAATACATGAAACATAGTCTTATTTGATTTGGAGGCTAAAGAGTGTATTTTTAGGTGAAATTTGGTATGATGAGGTTTGTCCCGGATTCATTGGCAGAGTCTGGTTGGTCTAAAGAAGCTTGGATATAACGGTTTCCATGATCAAAGGTCGGGGTGAACTTAGGTATTTCAAGGTGAAATTTGATAAGCAAGGCTTTTAGGGTACCTAAAGTCTTCCGGTGATGTTCGATTAGTTAAATGAAGTGTCTATACGGGAGATTTACAATTTAAGAGGTTGAGGTATCTAATTTTGGGTGATAACACCCCTATCCCCAAGCATCTATCCTAACAATACGAGAAAATTTCCATGAAGTCTGAATTCATTAGTTCATGCCCAATGCTGGCTATTAAAATAGCTAACTCGTTGCTTTCCCTACAAATATGCATTAACTTGAAATACTTTTTCGCTTTTTCCATTGTTCTCCAAGTATTATTCATTATGGTATCATTAGTGAAACTAAGGTTCAAAATATCAACAGATACTCTTGATACAAGAAGTATTATATTAATCCAAAGGCATGGGTAAAATGGTCCCCATGCCATTTAAGTGTTAATGGGACCTTTAACAGGAATGGAGGACTGCCACTACAAGTTATCAATCACCTATAAAGGTCAATAAATTGCCATTCAGTATTCATTCAAACATTTTTTATTGTTTTTATTGCCTGTCTTGATTGTTTGGAATTTTGTCCAAATTTATTTGATTTATGGTTTCCCACAAAAAAAAAATAAAAATCTAAAACTTATAAAAAATGATTTTTGTAGGTTTGAAATGATTTCTTTGCAGGGAAGAAACTATAGGGTTGCTAATGGATCAGGTCCGACCCAATAGACCTGAATTGATTGGGTTGGTTTTGGTTCCTAATATATTGTCTTGATTATTATCAATTCAAAACCAGTTCTACCCAAACCAACTCAGACCGGACTCAAGCTATATATATTAAATATACAATGTATTAAAAATTATATTAATTGTATAATATATTAAACAAATTAATATATGTAATATTTCAATAAGTCTATTATAATCGGGTCCATTGAGTCTAATCCGATTGTTCCAATAATCGATCGGTTCAATTTTGGGTCCAAAATTGCAGACCTTATTAGGTCTTGTTCAATTTTGGATCCTTAGTATTTCTTGTTGGGTTGTCAGAGTCAAGTTGAAAAGACAGAGATAGAAGAGAGAATAGAGCAAACAGTTCAGTGGGTGTGTCACCCTATGACTGTCGATACCCTAAAAGAGATATTTATATTAAAGAAAGTAAAAGGATAAATCCGTCCTTAGCGTACAAAAGAAAGAGTACATAAAATAGATGTACAACAAAAGAAGTAAAAGTACAAAAATAACCCTACAACTAGATCTTCTCACTATCTCTACACTCCCCCTCAAAGTGATGCCTAGGAATAAGCATCCATTTGTCCATGAGAAATAGATGTCGAGCCTGAGTCATTGCTTTTGTCAATTGGAACTTGGAGGAGACATGAGGAAG